GGGGGGAAATTATTCCTGCTCTTCAGAGTGTTGTTCAGTGACAAGGTGGGGTTTTAAAATTTTTTTTTAGTGTTTTAAAATTATAGAAGGAACTGTAGTAATGTGGAAAGGAAAGGATTTTATCAGAACAGACTTCCTGGTTATGCCTGGTGGTGGCAAAGCTGGGCATAGCTGGCAGCTGGCTGATGGAAACTCAGTACAAGTAAGACAGGGAATCCAGTGATCTTGGAGAAGCAAATGGATGAATTGCAAACACACATTTTATCCCCTTTTGTATGAGGAGATGTGCTTAGCCTTTGTGGCTTTGATTTGCTGTTAGCTAACAGGAGATAGTCACCATGGTTAGGAATGATTCCTCGCATGTTTAAACCAGCGGCTGTTTCTTTTGTAGGCTGAGTTTATCATCCATCACCAGAAGAGGACGTGGAGCTACTCTTAATATTAGCTTACCAACTTAAATTGAGGGAGAAGCCCATCAGCTTGTCCCTGGGAGGTGGGAGGGAGGTTGCAGACCTGACTGATGATACTGGGGCTCCCTGACCCTGCAGAGGCTGGCTCGCTCGTCCTGGAGCAGGTGGAAAGGCTTGGGTTTGACTCACAAAGTCCTGGGGCCCATGGCTATTCTGCTTCAGGCATAGTTTGACATCCCCATTCTATGTTGCTCATCCAGTGTGGTCTTGCTGGATCTTCAATGACAGGAAAAACAGGAGAAGGGGTAGGAGAAGCAGGAGGAGTGGTAGTGGGTGGCAGCCTGGTGTTCCCTGTGGGGACATTCAGTGTTGCAATGAACCTCTTGGATTCTTGACAGGTCAGGTCTGTTGACCCTTCTGGGCATGCTATGGTGAGTGTTTAGTTATTTACTAAAGCCTTTTGAAGAGAAAGTGGCTTGATGGGGTCTGAGTCTTTTGTGTTATGGAGAGTTGTGTGAGAATCTTTCCTGGGGTTAGCTATTAGCTGATTGTTTAATTATTTGGCTCTGTAACTAAGTAACTAAATGCCTTGAGCCTTAAGATAAGCAGCTCTTTGTTAACATTTTAATAAATGAAGGCAAATAATAATTTAAAACCTAAGGAAGTATAAATGTCTTATTTCGGTGACCGAATCTTGGATAAAAGCATGATTTGGAATGTAATTGCGTATCTCACAATAATCTGAAATAACACACTCAGAATGTCCCCAGTCCTCTATTGTGGTCATGATTTTTATACAAACAGTATTTACTCCATTTGGCTGGCTGGCATAAACCATGCTGCGAGACTGCAAGCGGGCAGAGAAAAAGTTCACGTCTGTTTATTTAACAGCAGTTTGGTTTTCCATGGTGGTATTGTTCAATAGCTCCACCTATAAAGTTTAAATACATTGTGTGCACCACTATTACAAATAAGGATGTAGCTGGAAGCAGACAATAGCAGCAACAACGTGTCCTCGCTTGTCCCCAGTGCTTAAGAACGCCACCTGAAATTTTGCTCGAGCCTTTTTAGGGGGTGATGGACAGTTATTATTTGCATCGGGTGATGCCCCTTTGCAGTAGGAGCTAATGCCACAGTTACAGAATTTGCGTAGAAGGGAATCCTGTGCTGCTGTCCCGTGGCCAGGCAGAGCTTGCCCAGCACAGGGCTGGTTTACAGGTTTATGGTGATGGCTGAAGGACACAGTTTCAAGGCAGAGATTGGGAGAGGGCTGGAGGAGCATGGTGATACCAGGTCATCAAGCCTTGCTTGGTGCTGGGGGCACTGCAGGGCTATCTCCTCCTTCTGCCATCTACCTGTTTTCACTAAGGGAAAATTCAGGAGGATGCTGCTGCAAACACTGGTGGGTGGGTACAAGTGAAGGCTGAGCAAACTTGCAGCCTTATTTCTCTAGCACGCTGAAAAGATGTGGAAGTGAGGAAAGACTCCTGATGTCAGCCTCAGGGGAACCATTGATTTGATGGTACAGCGTGCACATGAGTTCAAAATTTGTCCCTAAGTTTCAGAGCGATGTAAAAATCCTTGTGCAGTGTCCTGGAGAGAGAGTTAACTTTGCAGCGTAGGTTGTTTATGTGCTGCTGGGAATTTTTTAACAGTTGAAGCCGGTTGATTTTTGCAGTGAGGCTGTTGGGCGGACTCCTGCCTCAGAATCCCACCTGTTCTCTGTTTGCTTTTGGGCACCATTTCAAACCCACACTGGAAAAAGTTTATAGGCAAACATTATAAAAAGTGACAGTCTTAAGTGCTGCTACATTCTAGTTTGGCAACACAAAGGCTTACCTGAAATAACTCACTATTTCCAAACATGACTTCATTATTTCTTGACATCACTTTGTGCTGTATCTTCCCTGATACTCTAGAGAGAAAGAAAATGGAGTAGGATAATATTTACCAAATGCTAATAGTTATTTGAAACTTGTTTTTCTTCAGTATACTAGTAATTTTCCTTGTAAAAGGAATTTTTTATTTGTAATTTTGAAATAAATTACCGCTCTTGAGTTTGGATTTGGATTTGTGTTGAAAGACTGAGTGTAAATTTGGGGATAGTCGTTTAGAAAGAGATGAAATCAAGGATGGGAGGTAGAAAATTATTTTCCTTGTGATTGTATGTGTGAACAATTGATCTGCCCAGGAGGACGCTGCAACCTGTGAGACCCTCCTGTGAGTTTCCTGGCACCCTTCAGCAAAAGCCTCTAATGCACTTAAAGGAGGGTTGAGTTATCTTCACTCATGGTGGCTTTAAACAAAGACACTTTTAGACTCCAGAACATTGTTGGCACGGTGTAAACTGTAAAAGAAATATTCTTTGTAGATAGAGTGTTACAAAGAAGTCTTAAAATCTTCAAAGTAAATTAGCTACCTGGCTTCAACTACCTTTTTAATTTGACAGTGGAATATGATTTAAAAAAAAACTCAAGCAGACTCAAATATACTCATTATTGTTGCAGAATATAGGTAGAAAGGAGCCCATGTTCCTTCTGGAAATTAGATTTCCAACAGCATCAGTGAGACACCTGCATTGTGGATTGGTGACTATCGACAGACTGAATTAGTTTATAAGGAGTATAAAGCTGTATTGTAGCTTGTCCTAGACCTTGAGATGGAACTTTGCACGCTAGAAAGTTTAGAGACCTTGTTATAAAATCTAAATCCCAGAATCTTTACAGTCTTCGTAATTGGTCTCATTTAAATGGTTTTATGTACTTCTCCTGGACACCATCTTGGTGCGATGCATGTATCAAATCCCTTGTTTGAAAAAATGCGTTTGCCCTAGGGAAAAAAGCCAGGAGAAGCTTTGCTTGCTTTGCAAGGGCACATCCCTGGATCTGTTTTCCCTTTGCTTTGGGCAAGCTCCCACTGAACTCCCTGGAATTACGTGATTCCAGGATGAGTGGGAGGAGAAATGGGGCACACTATTTTCAAGTGCACTAGTATAACCCAGTATTTCAATGCGTGAGTGTCCCACTGCGGCGGCCACTTCTGGTACTTGTAGAATCGCAGGCTATCTTGAGTTGGAAGGGACCCATAGGTATCGTTGAGTCTAATTCCCTGCTCCTCGCAGGACTACCTCAAACTACCGACAGACCTTCAGCGTTTCCAAACTCCCATCCACAGGCTAGCTCAGATGTGATGCTCATTTCTGGCTTCTCTGTTGAAAGTGCTATACTAGAAATGACAACGCCACGCCCCAAGGGTGAAGAACATCGGTTTCAGGGTTTCAATATTCTTGGAAGGAAGGGTGGACACCGAGGAGTCACCTATTTTAATATTCCCTCAGACTCCTAAACAAACAGAAAGAGGTGTGTGTTTTATTTATATGTGTACACAGTGGTGCACAGTTGGTGCCTGCCCGGGGAAGGATGTGTGCCAGGGTGCACGCAGGGTAGCAGCTGTTGGTGCGATGTGACCCTCCTCCTGAGCAAACAGAAGATGCCTTCATGCTTTTTTCCCTTTATTTATGCCATCCTTGGTGAGGCCAGAAGGTTCATGGGAGAGGGATACTGTGGTTGTAGGGAGAAACCAGTTACAAAAGCAGTTCCTCTGTCTGGCACTGCTCGAGGGTGTCATAGGTGTGCTGAGCTGTCCCTGTCCTGCTGCCCCTGTGGAGATAAGGGCCTAGGACTGTGGCTTGTGGCTCCCTTCCCCCTGCCAAGAGCTGCCCTTGGAAGGGCATGATGAAATTCTTGTAACTATAGGCAGATGTAGTTTTCCAAGGATGTTTTTTTGGAAAAAGACTGTGGTTTGACATTCCTCTCATTATTTGGTTACAGCAGGGAACTGATGGATGAGCCGTTTCGTTTTGAACTTCTCTTTGTGACTTTGTAAGCTTTGCTTGTGTTCTGGGTTTCTGCTGTGTTCTGTTCAGGAGAGGCTGTGAAACAAGAAATGAAGAAAAAAAAAATAGAGGAAAAAGTTACTGTCACTGGGAGCTGAGTTGGCAGTGTGGAAGGCAAATGTAGAAACTTTGGAAATTGTGCAGGGAGAAGAAATGTCTTCATATATGCTGTGTATAGGAACTCATGTTTATTAGCTTAGTCAGTGAAGGGTTTTTTGGCCATCCTTTTCTTCCAACACAGATCTTTTCAGGTTTTTTTTTTTTTTAAAAAAAAGCTACTTACAAAATCAGACGGGGAAAGATAAATATTCCTTTGAATCAAAGACATAAATTCTAGAGTATAAAACTGAATTTGCTTTTTGAAATCCTGCTGGCACATCCAAATACTGTGAAGCCCCCAGGGTCGGCTTGCTGTGACCAGCGGGAAGGGTTGTGCCTTTGCATGGCGCTTGGGACAAGGCATGTACTGAGACACTGCTGAAAAGGGAATGAGCTTTGTTTGAAAATAAAACCTATCCCATACTTGCATATGGTTCAGTTTTAGAAGACAGATTGCTGGGGTAATCTGGATGCAACTTTCTTATTGAACGTAACTTGATTTCTGTGGATAAAAAGGGCCTTCACTGACTTTTGTTGGAAATTCTCTCCTTTCCCTTCTCTTTCTTCTTTTTCCTCCTTTCCTTCCACCTTCGCAGAGCCGCCAACCAAATACCAAATCTCTCAGCCAGATGTATATTCAGCACTTCCAGGAGAACCGCTTGAGTTGCGCTGTCAATTGAAAGACGCCGTCATGATCAGTTGGACTAAGGATGGGGTCCCTCTGGGCCCCGACAATAGGACAGTGATTATTGGGGAGTACTTACAAATTAAGGATGCTACACCCAGAGATTCGGGCCTCTATGCTTGCACTGCTGTTAGGACCCTAGACAGTGATACTCTGTACTTCATTGTAAATGTTACAGGTGAGTGAGTTAAATGTAGGTTTTTGCATGTAGCAGCTGTAAAATGTGATATAAAGACACATTATGATATAACGTGAAACAATCCACTGGGGCACAGCGAGCTGAGCTGAGTTCTGTAGTTATTTCAGTTATTTTCCCCCTTGTCCTGACCCTGAAACGGACTCAGTTTATATATACTGCTTTTACTTCATGGGATCTACAGCGATTAACAGCTGCTGAATAACCCTCTGTTTTATGCCACTGTGACAGGATTAAATTATACAGAGTCGCTGTGATGATGATAAAGTCAGTAGAATGAACACAAGGGTTTTTTTCCCCCCTACATCAGAAGAGGAAAAGGGGTGTCCTACATCCTTTAAGTTTAGAGATAAATTGTTCTGGAGACGCTCGGTTCTGCTCAACTGAATGTCTTTAAGAAAAATAAAAATTGTAAGTGGAGAGGGATTTTAGGAGTTAGCAAGCTCCCTTTGGGAACTTTGTAGAATTTAATGATTATTAGCTTAGATTGGTTAGAATTTAATAAGAATAGAACATTTTGTGGCTGTATTTTCTTTTTCTTTAGCTTCTGCACAACTAACATAACATCTGTTCTCTTTGATAGATCATCTAAGATAAAGCATATTGGTTTACTTGTCTGCAAAACAGGCTGGTTTAAAGACTTGATTATTTTTAATGTGCAGATGCTCTTTCCTCTGGGGATGATGAAGACGACAATGATGGGTCCGAGGACTTTGTGAATGACAGCAACCAGATGAGTAAGTAACAGCCAACTGCCAGAAGTCACTAGCAAGATCCACGTGGAAAATAATGTCCCGTCTTTCGCACTCCTGCCTTCAGAGCTTCTTGATTGTTAACTGCATGGGCTGTCAAATAGTGTTATCTTTGTCCTTTTCCATTTTCTGTTTCACATAGTTCGTAACTTGGAAAAGAAAAAAGAAAAATAAACTAATATTCTTCTAAACATGCTTTACTGGTCTGTACTTTCTTTCTCCCTTCTTGCTAGCTCTTCTGCAGTTTTCTTTCTTCCTAAATTGAAGTTCAGTCTTTGTCTGGCTTAGACTCTCACAAGATGAACTAACTTTCCCTGAACCTGAGCTGAAATCTAGCAGAAGAAACAAAGATCCAGCTCACTTTGTTAAAAGGTGGTATGGAAACTTTAAAAATAAAATTAAGTTGTAATGAGGCAAATCCTTCAATCCTTAATCTCAGCAGAAATCTCCCCGGGGAGAGTGAATTTGGAGACAATGAGGTTTTTTTTGTCTCCAAAGGACCTCAAGGTTTGTTTCAAAGAAAGCAATCCAGCATTAAAACCACATTTTAGTTACTTATGCATGATGAAAATGGGCTAAAAGAGTCTTAAACCTATCTGAATGTTAAACTTCAGTCCCTTTAGAGAATTTGGAAAGCTATTAATAGGCTCTAAATAGAGCAGTTGCTAAGAAAGAAAAAAAAAAAAAAGGCAAAATTCATATTGGTTCCTTATGCCCCTATGCACTGTTGCAAAATCCCTGTGGTGACTGCTAGTGCTTTGTCTATCGCTATCGCTTGTGCTTTGTAAAGTCAATAGCAGTCAGAACACAGAAATCCTTCATGGGAGATGTCAGCTAGTTACCCAACGCAGTAGCCAGGTAGTATAATTGCTCCTCAGCCTGATTAGTAATTGGCAGCTATACTGTATGCCTGAAACACTTGTTCCGATGATAAAGTACCAGCCTGATTTCAGCTCCCCTAGTTAGTTACTGTTGTATACGACTGGCCCTGGTCTGAAGCTGTGAAACATTAGATGCTATTTAAAATGATATAAGTTCTTAGCTGCCTATTTGGCCCCTGCCATCTGTTAGTGTGATTAACCCTGTCTGATTCACAGGTGCAGCTTGAAGTGGCTGAGATTAAGCAGCTGGAGGCTGCTCTGACAAAGGAATGTGGTGGCAAAGATAATGGGCGAGTTTGGAAAAGGGACACTGCTTTTAAAAGAAGTTGTCTAGGCAAAACCTGCCAATGCAAGCAGTGTTAGCATTCCCCTGAAGAGGACTAGTGGGTAGAAATTCCTTTCAGGAAGCATCCCTATGTCTGTTATCACTTCAGAGCTTTATTGGTGTTGGTCAGGAAAGGGCTTGCAGTATTTTGGGTGTGTTAGCAAAGACAATTGCGCTTCTCATTTGTGCTGATGGGTTTGGTGACTCGTGGGGAGCACAAATGGCTTTTGGTGAGGAGAAAACATCTCATCTCAAGTCTCTGTAGTGTGGTGGTAATGATTCCTTCCTTTTCCTGCAACAGGGAGAGCTACCGGTGGTGTCCCCTGTAACAGCAGTGATGTTCCTGTAATGTGAGCTATCATTTTAAGCGACCGTTAATCAATCTTGATTCAGGAGCTGGTGAAAGGCCATTGACAATTTCCGTCTGCCGGGGATGGGGTCTGTACTTCAGCAGGGGTCAGTCACACTTTCCCTGCTCAAAATGAAAGATGCCTCCAGAGCGTGAACCTCTCGGATGGCGGGGAGAGCGCAAACTCTTGCGGTGTAGAAGAGGGGAAACTGCAAGAAGACAGATGGCCCCTGAGCAGAGCGTTGCACAACCAAGTCCTCATGCAAAAGAGCTTTTTACGAGGTGCCCACAAAACTGCTGGGGCTTGTTGGGAGCTGTGGATGGGTGCGGGAGCAGCACAGCCTTCCTCCCGACGCCTGAGCACTCGTCGGGGAGAGCTGGAGCTGAGAGAATGATCGTGGCACTGCATCCCTGCAAGTAGTCTGTTTTCAATGAAAAGTTGCATCATAGTAACTCGATTGGATTAATACAACGCTGCTGAAAGAGGGTTGAGATTTTGGCAAGATCAGAGCTACATGAAAGTTAGGGGTGGGATTTGGTGTGGTGCTTTTGCAAACCACTGAAGCTTGCGTATCTGGTGTTTTCTAAGTCCTCCCATCGCTATTTCTCTTCTGGATTTTATATCACATCCAAAAGGCCGCATCTCCTTTAAGATACAGTGCTGCAAGACAGATTGAAAAGCAAATGAGGGGTTGAGAAGCAGCCTGAAATCCTCTCTGAGTGTGTGCCACGTGGCTCACGGTGGTGTGTGATGGTCAAATGCCCTTCACCACCTTCTCCTGCCTATGTTAGGCAGAGCCTGGGGAAGTCCAGGACCTCACCAGAGTCCCTAGTTGCTGCTTTTTAACAGAAGAAGGAGTCTTTTAAGTGTTTCCTGAATCCTGGTTTAAGCTTTACAGATCTAAAACAATTTGATAATTTACATACAAATTACAGCTGTGATCATTACGGATAAGCAATGGAAATTGGCCTGGTTATGCCTTTACTGATGGAAACAAAAGGCCATAGTCTTCAAAGGTTGTTGCTTTTTGATGAAACAATTCTGATAAAGTCCAGCTGTCCTGGCATGTTAATTATGATGTGATGAGGCAGGAAATGGCTGTAGTGCCTTCCACAGGAAACTCAACCTTGGCATTCTCATTCCTGCATATTTAAAACTAAAGCAAACCTTTTAGAGCTGTTTTATTTATGATGGTAAGTATTTTTCTTTTTAAGATTTTTAAATTTGCTTTGCCTCTGTTACAAATATATGTTTCAGAGGCCAAGGTTTTCAAAATGCAAGCAGAGAGGCTGTTGAGGAAACCTAGTGTGATGATTTTTTTTTTTTTTTTAAAAAAAAGGCTGCCTAGAAAACGCAACTGCTCTTGAGGTCAGCGGAGGCTGTAAGTGGCTCGGTAGCTGTGAGGAGCAGCTCGTGCTTGGGAGAGGAGGGCACTGGAGTGTACACATGTGCATTTGACCATTTGCCCTGTGTGTATTTTTAAGTAAAAGGCATGCATAGCAGATTGCACTCTCTGCGTTCGGTGTCCTTTTAGCTTGACAGATATTTTAACTGTCTGAGAAAACACTGTGGTAGATTTGTTCCAGACTGCATCCTGAATAGCTTTTTATTACTTCCAGCTTTTGTTGAAGGGATTAGTGCTTGTGGGGAGGGTGCAGGATTGGTTCCACTGCAAAATAGTCCTCTCTCTCTCTCTCTCTCTTTCTCTCCACAAAATGGCTTTCTTGGCAACTCAGTTTTTCCTTTTGTTGCCCTAAAGAGGTGCCTTAACTTGGTTCTGGAGGGCCACCTCCAAGGACAGTGATCTGGGACTTCCTTCTGCAAAGCTAAGGGCTGATCATGGTCAGTTCCTACTGGCAGCAGTGGAGAATCCATTGTTGGTACTTGTTGCCATATCCTCATAATGATTTTGAGAGGTAGCCCTAACGTAAGGGATTTCTATAATCCTGACTTGGTGCTGGCAAGGCAGCAGCTGTCGTGATGGTTTCACTGAGGTCCACCAAGAGACCCCTGGGTTGCCCTGAAGATGTTGTTATTCTGCCTTGAATTCAAGTCAGGCGACTGGAAGCTTTATGACTTTTTTTTTTTTTTTCCCTTATCACCCTTTAAACAATTTCTTCTGAGCCAAGCAATGGTAAATTGGCACCAAGAACAAAAAGTTATCTAAATGTAATCCACATGCTGTTCTTTTCATGCCTTGAAGAATTTCAAAAAGGATGAAACAAGGTTCAAATTCATCAAATCCTGTAGAGTGGAAACCCACTCAAGGGAACAGCAAAAATTGGATGTTGCCTAGGGGGGGGGGGTGTTAATGTGGTCATTTCAGGCGCACTATTGCCTGCTTGAGGTGCTTGTCAGGCAGGCTTGGAGTTGACTACTTTTGTATTTCTTTGTATTAGATAAGTCCAAATAAAAATTGAGGAGTCCTGAAGTGAAGTGGTCCCCTGGGCTGCCTAATTTCAATTTCACATGCAGGAGATTTGCCTGATTAGATGTAATGTATTTGCAGTGGAGTGCAGTGTGGGTCAGCAGGATATTTTCTTCACTAATGAGAGCTCTAAAAGCAATCAGGAATTCCCACCCGTTCCCCTGCTGCTCCTTACCGCTCTGTGCTGGAGTCTGCCCTGTTGTTACTGTGAACTGTTAGCAGCGGTGCTACCTACTTCCACCTGTCCCGTTAGCAAAGATGGGATGCGACGGACACTGGAAGAGGGCTGGGCACTTGGTGGTACATACTCATTAACTACTTTCATTATTAGTTTCAGTGAATCTGGTTGGTTTTCCTCTCAAGATGAATAGAAGCAGTAAAAGGTGCTTTTAGGTTATGAGAAACGCTGTGTGTTAATCAGATCAGTCACTGTGTGAACGCACAAAATGAGGGTGTTACAGTTTGTGCATGTTGCTGTCTTTCTTCTTCCCTTAAACACACTGAGGAGCTGCCAATATACGTTGCTACTACCAAGTGAAAAATGGTAGGATGTCTTGAAGCGTTTTCAGACAGTGTTTGCAACATGTGATGCCTGCATGTTTTTCTCTAAGCTCTCCTGTAATTCAGGAGCAGTGCAGGTTATGCTGATGCGACGTTGGGTGATGGGGGTATTTCCAAGCAGAGTCCTTTCTCCCAGCCTGGGGAGTTTCCTTTCCTCCTCTCCCGTGGCACAGAACTGAGCTGCTTCTCTCTGCTCCTGCCTGCATCCTCCTGACCACTTCTCTGCTCCCACCATAAAGTTTTTCCTCCCTATATATTTGTTGTATGTGAGTCTTATTGGAACGTTTCTCTTCCAGGATCAGTTTTTTAAAGAGTGAGTGTTGATGGAAGGGGGGGTTATATGCAAGAAAACCGGAGGATGAGCTGCACTGCAATGCAGTTTAAACCTGGCTGCATGAAGCAGACTTGCTTGGGGAACTGTTGGTAGTTGGAGCCTGACCAGCTCAGATGCCCTGGTCTGGGGCTGTACCCTGATGGGAGCTTCTCCAGAGCTTGGACCATCCTTGATGGGAGCTTCTCCAGAGCTTGGTCCATCCCGCCTGTGTGCTGCCGAGCAGCATCGCTGTGGGCGAGCTGTGGAGCCTGTGGGTCGGAGGCTGTGTGTGCCAGCCGCTGCATCCGAGCTTTGTGTGCTCTGTACGTGTGAGAAGCTGTGTGTGTGACGGACGCGATGAGAAGTGACCGTGCTGGCTGCAGAGTTGGCATTGCCTTTTTGGGGTCAAATCTCAGCACTCTGCTCTGTCTGAGATACCAGTATAACTGGTTTGGATGGTTGATTGGCTTTGACCCGCCACAGTTCACTCTGACTTTGTGGGAACTGTGTGTAAAGCCCAATAGTGGTCACTATACATTGCCTTGTGGAAGATGTTTAGCAGTTTCCGAGACAATACCCTTTTAATATATCAGTACCAATGTGTAATTCCACCTTTGCTTGGCATACTTGTAATGTAACTTGGGTTTTGCGTGTAGTAGTTAATTCCTTTGGTTGGCTTTGTTTAAAGTCTTCTGTTGTTTTAATGTGACCCTGGTTTGAGCAAATAATGTTAACAGTGATTTTCCTTGCATCCCTAATTCAGTTGAGTCTGTGTAACAACTTCTTAGTGTTGCAGTTAAATTTTCAATAGTTACCTGATTTTCTGTTTTGATTACATGGACAAATTTGCTTTGCTTTTCTACTTCATTAATTTTAACGCTAATTGCCACTTCGGGCAAAAAAAAAAAAAAATCACTTATCGTTCTTAGCATCATTATAAGACTTGCTTGTAGAATGTTTTCTTTATACTGAGAGAGACGTTGTTAAAGGATTTATTCCTGTATTTTCTATCCAGCTGTATTTTTATTTAGAGGGGGGTAGCAGGATTTCTGAGTTTGCAGTGATTGTAAGAACTGCTATAAATATTTGAGGAACGGAAGAGTTTATTTATAGTGGAGTGTTAGGCTGCTAATGAAGGAAATGAAACAGGGCTGAGAGAAATAAAGTTATTTTTCTGGACCCCTCTAGTCCTAAAAATTCCACACTAATCTGATTTGCTTCAGGAAAAGTCCATTGTAAAAGAAATTAATGTTTCCTACTATTAAACAGATCTTGAATATTTAACTTTGTAAAAACTCTTATGGTGAGACAACTGAAGCCATGCCGTGAAGACGCTGTGCAGTGTAGCCAAAGTGGCACGTGGATCCAGAGCATGGGATAACCTTGTACATGGATCTATCTATCCAGATTTACTTCTTGGAGGGTAAAAACCCATGTGCAGTTTTATATTTTGTTCTGTTGTGTTTCCTGTACCGGTGCATGACAAATGATTGAGAACCTGGATGAGAGAGGGGTTTTCCATGTGCTCCTCATACTCCTCATGTGGGCACAGGCTGGGTCAGGGCATGGCAAGGAGTGAGAGCCAGGAGAGCCTTGCCAGGAGCTGGTAAAAGTGATCACTTCAGTAAAAACGGGCTGGGAGAGACACTCTTATTTTGTGCCTTGGTGCTGGACCTCACTGAACACTTGGGCTTCACCAGGCTCATGAGAGTGGGAAATCCCTGCAAAATGATAAATGCTATTGCTGAGTTTTGCTTGAAACCTCTTCGGTTAAGGCTTCAGAAGTATTTGTAAATATATTTCAGGGGTTTCTCTGACAGTAACAGCGCGGTTCACCCTGCTGTCCTGCGCTGTCAGTTTTAACGTGCTGCCAGGCAGGTAGGTATGTTTATTCCCCTTCTAACAGATGGGGAAAGGTTAAGGCTGATGCTTCTAACAGGTCGTCTGACTTTGTCTGGCTTCACAGCCAAGCTCCAAGAATTCAAAGTTTGCTGAGCACTCAAGTAACTCAGCTTGAGGCCAAAAGCGTCGGTCGTTTGACTCTGCTGAAAACTTGGTCCTTCTATCTTACTTGACATACACAAAATAAAGGATATCTGTGGTTAATATTGGAATTTTTTCATAAATTATATACTTTAAAGCTGCAGACTGAGCCATTTGGAAAGCTCTGGTCAACACTTGCAACATATGATATCCAGCCATCTACTTTTTCTAAACTACGCTTAAAAACCAATATGAGCCGCGCTTTACATCAATGGAAGGGACTGGAAAGGGAACTCTTGTTTCTGAGTACTGATATTTCTGGATGTATTTCTTTGATACAGGGGCACCCTATTGGACACATACGGACAAAATGGAGAAAAGGCTACATGCGGTGCCAGCAGCAAACACCGTCAAATTTCGTTGTCCAGCGATGGGAAACCCAACACCGACCATGCGATGGCTGAAAAATGGGAAAGAATTTAAACAAGAGCATCGTATTGGTGGATACAAGGTAAGATCTCATGCTGTGATTTTGCAGTTTGAGTTCTTGACCAAGGCTGTAAAAAATAAAAAAAAAAATCAAACTTAAGTCAACAGAAAATCTTTTAATGGCCTTGGATCAACTGTAGAAGCGAAGAAAAGTAATTGTTTTCTTCTGTGGAAGGGTGGGTGGTTTCTTTGATGGTTACTCAGCACTAATTCTGTATTTTTTTTCCCCTCAAATTCAAGCTTGTAGCATAGCAGCTAAAGATTATTTATAGAGACTTTTTTTGAAAACTAAAGACTGAATTTGCAAATCAGAGTACGACTATTTTTCTCTATTCATTTTCAGCTGCATTGTTAAAAACGTGACCATCCGCTCTGGTGATTGTAGGCAGTTTAATAAAGGAAGAGTTGAAAGTCAAAAGTTATTATTTTCTATGGAGTTTATGGTCTGTGAAACTGAAATGGGGAGCAGAATTTGAGGGAAAGTAACAGCAATTACTTACAAGGGTTTGTTTGAATTTTAAACAGCTCGAGATTAGATGTTTCATTCTAAATTGGCGGTTACTGATTAAGAGAGAGTTTTAGGGAGGCCATCTAGCTCTGTGGATTGTGCATGGACCTTTAACCTCCCGGTATCTGCCTAGGTCAGGTCAGAAGTCAGGCTTCGGTCATCTTATCCCGCTCCTCACAGGGAATGAGAGTGTGTGACTTTGATGGCAAGTTGCTGTTCAAGCGTTACCCTTGCCATCCTGCCCCACATTTCTGAGCTGCCTTAACCTCTTCTGCGGAGCTTCTGCCAGTGGCTTCCTCGCGTGCCCGACACCTCAGCAACTTCTCTCCAAAGATGAGAAGTTTCCAAGTTAAGTCACCTTGTGTCACGGTTGTAAGCCCCCAGCCTAGGAATCCTGCTGAGGACCTCAGAGCAATTAGTAATGGTCATTAAGACAGAAGTTAACTGACTTTTTGCAGATGGTGCAGTAAGCTCAAGACCAAGTCCTGGGGGCTGCTTCTCCCGAGACTGTGCCACTGCCTTACCCCAGCAATTGAAGAATTTTTGGGCTGCTGCGTTTTGCGATGCCCTGATGGAGCCAGGGTGTATATTGCTTCGTCTGTTGTTGACTTAGATCCTGCTTGGTACAAAAAAAAATTGTTTTCCAGTGCAGAAGAGGACAAGCCGTAGTCTCCTTGTCTCCTTTCCTCTCCAGCTAGATTTATGGTAGGAAGTGTCAATTTTTCCAACATTTGTGTTAGCAGAGAGTGAAGCCCAGAAAAATCTCCCCACATGAACACTAATTATCTAAGTAGACTTTTCCATCTATGTTTGCTTACACCATAAATTACTGTTGCTTATGAGTGTACACCTGGCAACACCTTCTGCCTTTCATAACGCTACAGAGCATTAATGAATTGGCTACAATTCAGTGATTTTTTCACCTTTTTTTAAAAGCAAAAAAAAGCCAATTAAAAAAAAATCCCCAAACTAATCCTGTCTTGGAAAATAACAGTAGCTGTTTCGGTACTAACGGAGATGTTATTTGAACACTTTACATCCCATGAAGGGGAAATGCAGATATCACTCTTGAAAACCGTGAAGGAAAATGTGTGTCTTGCGAGGCAAGATGGAGATACCTGATCTCTGGTTTGGGAGGGAGGTTTTGGCGGGGTAAATCAGCCCATGTGGGGCTCCGTGCTGCCGTTTCTAGCCTGTGTTAGGGATCTGGGTGAGCTCATTTAGACTCGTGCCCATTAAGTGGCACAAATTAAATTTTTGCTCGTGTGTATTAAATGTATACAATTTCCTAGGTATGTATGTGCTCTGGGAAGAAACCACAGATGCCTGTTTCTAAGCCAGCTGGATAAGTGAAGTATATACCCATAATTCTAAATCCTAACTTCTTACAACTCTTCAGTCTAAAGGAAAAAAAGAGGGGACACGGCTGTGGATTTTAGACTTTCTTGTTGATTTTGTGATCAGATTTTAAATGATCTGATAGCATTTACTTATCATTGTCATTCTGCTGACCAAATCTTTGTATATTCTAGATTCTGTCACGTGTTTTGAAAATGGAATCTTTGTTTTCAGTGAACAGGTATTAAAGAATGAGACCTCCACAAGCTCTGGAGGCTGTGTCCTCTTCTTGTTAGAGGGGCAGGATGAGGTCACGGTGGGCTTATTGAAAATTATTTTAAAATTAGAAAATTGTATTTTCTTGACACTTCTACACTGACAAACTTGTAATGGAGGAATCTCGGAAAGGTCTGAGTCTTTCCATATTGGTCTGCGTTTGGCCAGATATCACGGCAGATCACGATAATTCTTGTATGCTAGCTTGTCTTGAATCTGGGTGGTGTTATATGTTTCTCCATTTCTGCTGGAGATCTTCATAATACTTTGAGCAACTAGAATAGCTGAAACCAAATGTGGCCATATCTGCTGTCACCAGTTGAGGTAACTCCATCCGTCCCTTTCGGAAGAGGCTATCATTCATTGAAGACTTTATTTAAGAACAAAGTAAAGGGAAGGAAGATGTGAAGCTTTCCAGTAATCCTCCAGCCACCTCTCTCCTGCTGCCTTGAGCTAAGAAATCGCTGCTTTGTATTCTCTTTATCGCAATCAGGTTGTGACCTGTAGCACTTTGTCCCTCTGACTGGGGAATATCTTGAGTCAATTTGCACTCAGACAGGCTGACAGAAGGGTGTACGTGCTGGCCAAGATAGCTTCCAGAGTGAAATTCCTCCACCATGACTAATTCTGGGTGGTGAATTTAAAAATTGAACCTTCTAAAGATTTTTCAAGGTACACACAAAGTTCCTACAGCAAGGAGAAAGGGATCAGTTATTGAATGTCTAAATCCTTTCTAGTCTTTATCTGTCTCTGAATTGGTGATAGCTCTTGCTTTTGCATTTAAAGGCACTTTATAATTCCTTTGAATGAATAATCTCAATCCTCTATGAGACACCACAGGAGCCTTTACTTTTCTGAACACCACCCTGAAAGCAAATGTGCTTCTATCAGTTGTTACTGTTTAAGTATTAACGGGGGTGTGTTTTCACATAGGCATTTTGATAAACTTCATCACTACAGTCGTCTTATACACATTTAAATTCAGACGGGTAAATACAGAGTGAAGAAAGAGTTCTGACTCTATAGGAACTGTAAAACCTCCTGGCTTTTGTATGGATGTTCTGCACTTGCTCTCCCTTCCTGAGCGGTACCAGTATATGTCTGAACTGTGCTGATTTTATGGGGAATCATATTTTGGTTTCTCATCCTTTTTTCTTTTGGTATTCATTTAAAATTGACCCCTTTTTACCATTTTTTTTCCTGCTAAGTTTGCATGATGAGTCTGTTCACTGAAGACATGCGTTTTAAAATTAAACAGAACTGTTCACAATTTTTTATATGCTCCAAAAGCAGAATGTTTCTATGAAACACTATTTGCCCTTAGATTTCTGACCAATATTTCTTGGCATTTTGATTCCAGTTTTGTTTTCCCACCTCCAAGCTATATCTTAAGGGTAAAGTTGTATGCATTTGATATTGATAATTTAGTTTAAAAATTGAATTGTTTGGAGAGACTGTTTGGAAGAATTTGTTTAAAAATTTTGATGGAGAATGTGGCCAAAAAAATCTCAGTAATTTGCTAGAAGTGTCCATACCTGGTCAGAAAAAGAATGAGATTATAAAGTACCATTTTTTGGGTGTGTGAAGCACAACTAAAACATGAAAATAGGTGTTGCAAAGCAATGGTAATAAAAAAGGAGGGAAAAAGCAGTTATTAAACTGTGTTGACAAAATATCTGAAGGGTCAGCTTGTGATTCAGGATACTTGGAATTGTTGTTTCTGAATTTCCCTATGTCAAGAAAAGGCAATGACAAATTGAAAGGGGGGTACCCCGAGAACCAGATGATGGAGCGGGTGAATCTGTGGGTAATCTTTGGGATTTTGAAAGAACTGAGTATGAAATAGGGCTTTAGGGGACAAAATAGTAGAAATAACAGGATAATAGTTGGAAAGGAGCTAGTTAGGTTGGAGAGCTGGAAGAGTTTCCTACAACTGATAAATCTCTGGCTGTGGACACTTGTCCTTTTCTGGACTCTGTGCCTGGTGAAGATGCTCCTGCTTTCAGTGGCTTGTTGCTGCCCTCGTGTTTTTTCCTAGCGGATTAGTTCACATGAGCTCCCTAATATGTTCCGTCTGCCAGACGAGCTCAAGTCATCTATTTAAACAGCTTAAACGGAACCAGTTGGTATTACCTAGGGAAACTTAGGGAATATTTGGAGATCTGTAGCTCTGGTGTTTTAAGTTAGAAGGGCCCTAGTGAGCAACCAGAGGGGAGCTGACGGCATTACCAAAGAGACCATCTATTTGCAACTTCAGTCATGAGGGTGGTCCTGTTGGGAATTTTTTGGGGGGGTTTTGGGTGGTTTGGTTGGTTGGTTGGTTTTTGTTTGGTTGTTTTTTTGGTTTTTTTTTCCTCTGAAAATGAATGTTGTAGTTCACCTGTACACTGAAGGCTGGTGTAAGACCTGTGTACTGTGGAAAGACTGCTTCGAACCTTTTCTGAAACTAGCTTTTACATAAACTACTGTGATTTTGGTGCTGGTTATCAGTAACAACACCAGTCTTGCTGCCCAAAGACAGGTTTTATTGGGACTAGAGAGTGATGGCACCTTGCTTAAAAGAAGAACCACATTAACAAAGTTTGTGGGACCGGGGTGTTGCAGGGATGTGGCAGGATCATCACGTGTCTGAGAATGAAAGGTTCCGTTTGGGAGTCTTCAATGGGAGAAGATGAATCATCCTCAGCGAAGGGGAGTTTTTCTGGGCTTTGCAGTGCCGCACTTGTAACCAGAAAGCACTAAGCTGACAAGCTGAATCTAGTTGAATCCAGATCCACGACATAAATCCAGTTGTGTGACGATGTGTCATAAATGCTTTGGGCCTCTACAGCAGTTGTTTAGCTTAAACTGAAGAGGCTTAAGCTGTTGTTTTATTATAAAGATATTATCTCTTCTCATTGGAGTTACAAGAAGGGCAAGTACACAAATTCTTTTTAATATTGCCATCCAGTATATCCACTTGTGGCTGTAAGTTAGTTATGTTTTCTTATTGAATGCTAAACAGTTTCTTGTGTTTTCCTATCAAATTAATTACTTACAGCTTGTTACCAATCTTTATTTTGTTTCAACTTTTGTGGAACCATGATCTGTTCTTCCTGTTTTGCATTCAAAATGGTTAAAAAAACCTTGCTCTGATTCTGAGAAGTGTGGTGTAACTTCTAATGTCAAAAAGTTCAGGTCACGGTGACCAAGTCTCCCTCAAAATAGCTTGTAAAGAAGTAAAATATTCAAAATATGTAGCTGTTGTATTTGTTATTTACTAATGGTTTATGATGGTAATTCTTCCTGAGCCAAACTTTGTCTTTCAAGGTTGCTTAGCAGAATGAGACAATAAAATAACACTGATCAACTCTTTCTAGCTTTATAAACTTAGCTCTTCATAGTGTGAAAAAAAAAATAGAAATCAATATATAGTTTTGATGTATACCATCAAGAAGGGGGGCTGGGGAGAGGAGCTGTAAGTTTGGGCTGTAGATTCTGAGGTCATGTCACAAATTTCTGTGACATTAGGTTAGCATCCATGCCTTTCACCTGCTGCTGGAGTCTTATCTACATTTTCTTTGTTTTTCAAAGCCCATATAGCCAGTCATTAGCTAATATTAGCCCATGACTGGACAATAATAGTAGTATCTAGCTAATGAGCTAATTACTAGCTGGGGGGGACTAGAAAAGCCAGGAGCCTCTTACAAAGATGACAGCTCTTGCAGGCTTTGAACTGAAGGTGTTTTTACCTCCAGCAAGTGTGAGGGCTAAGCTCTTGGCACTGGGGACGTAGCCCTGCGCAGCCTTTTCCTGCTGGATAAGGACCTACGCAATAGTCAGCCACAAAGCAGGATTTCAGACCTGTAGTTGTAATGATCTTTTAAGAATGTATAGTTACTGGAAGTGTCACTGAATGGTCCATAAATTTTTTTTTTCGGGTGTACTGCGCTGAATTATTACTTTCCATTTGGCTGATTAAAATGACTGTACCAGATTGTATTTTTATTCCATTTGTTAAAATATGTACTTTGCAGTTTAAAAGCTGTACGTTACAGCTACATAATGTTAAGATCTCTTGAGCGCTTTGTCAGAAAATGTAATGCTAAAACAAGGGATTAGTGGACAGCCAGCAAAAGGTCATTTTGGGAGCCAACTTATGATGCAGGAAATACATATGTGTACCGGATGGCTCTATATCCTTCCAGTATTGGGCTGGATCCTATTTTCTGCAAGACCAATGCCAATGCTCCTTTTGAGTTCAAATGGGAACAGAATCAGCACCTTTAATATATTCTATCCGAGAAGGATTGTGTGTAATAAATGTATATCCTTACGCTCTGTTTCCATGAGGATTTTCTTCAGGCATTTTTCATGAGGCGGCATCTTCATTTCTTTCTTCTGGTACCCCAGAGCAGTGAGAGGTGTGGCTGCTCTGCGTGTCTGTGGGAGGGACCCTAAACATTGCCCTTCGGTACTTTGTTTCTCCAAAACACGGGCTGTGTAATTGAGCTATTAGAGAAAGACAGGGACTTAGATGTTAGGGGATCATATCCACCCCGTATTGCTGGTGGGTAGTTAATGTTGTCAGATGATTGTTTGGAGACAGATGGGAAATATCCTGAGGGTGTGAATTTGCTTTAGAGTGGATTGAGAGGTAAAGCCTGGTAAGACAGTTGCTGCTCATTGGTGCCATCCTCATCAGCCTGGTAGGACAGAGTGTGCACCGACGTCTGCAGTGCTCAGATCAGGGATAAGGTGCATTTATAGCAGAAAGCGTGAAAGCTTTCACTGCTGCAGCTATGCTGTACCGGATCAGGCATAAATAAAGTATTTCAGTGTCCAGAATTGTCAAATGAGCACAGAAGAGGCTTTTAAACACGGATTACAAGAGGTTAACTATTCGGGAAACAGTTCTTTTGGAGGGGGAGAGGGTGAAAATATGCTAGTGAAGTTCTCAGCCTCTCTGGTTACAACCCACCAGGTCCGCAACCAGCACTGGAGTCTCATCATGGAGAGCGTGGTCCCGTCTGACAAAGGGAATTATACGTGCATAGTGGAAAACCAGTACGGATCCATCAATCACACGTACCACCTCGACGTCGTTGGTAAGTAAAACTCTAAAAAAAGACAGTGCTTTTAATTAAATAAATTTAGAACTAACCTATTACATTTTGTATTCATTTTGAAGATGATTTTACTGTAATCTAAAGATAAGGTTTCACTACGTAACCAATTGCTCGGTGATTTTGTATATTCATCTGTCTCACTCATGCCTGTAGGACTAATCTACTGATACCTTGGCAAAGGGTAATACCCACATGTGAAGGTGAATTCTTGTTGCTGTGATACACTGGCAAGCTTACCGTGATGACCAAATAATACCGATGCAATTTTAATCATTAGTATTACAATTTAATTGTTACTTGTACAATTGTACTAGCTCACGTTTTAATACCTGGAAACTGTTAAGTGAACCTCTAGATTGCTATTATTATAGGTGAAACGATTATTTTTTTTAAATGAAAAGATAGATATTGATTTTTGGTGAAGCTAGTGCAGATCTGGAACTTCAGGAAAGGTGCTTTGCATTCCTAGCAGTGTAACAGGTCTGACTGTAGCCTGTTGTGTGGGCTCTGAGCAGTCCCTGAAATGCAGATGACAAAAACCGTGAGGAAGTGTTTTACCTGAGGACAAACTGTAAAAAGCTGTGTGAATTCTTGGTAGTAGCAAAGCTGTGATTCAGCAGGACTATTAAGCACATAATTAATAATGTTAACTTAATAATACCAAAATCCTGTTGACTTTAATAAGCCTTGCACATACTTATTTAAGTGCTTAGCTAAATTAGGGCTTGAGATCTCAGGAACCAGTTCAATTCATCCCTGCTCTTGCTGATTAGCCGGGGTGGGTGTGAGTGGTTTTATTGACTCTGAAGGCATTGCTGTCCAGAAGTGATCAGTTTGGCTGTTACAGTGTGGACCTGCTGGTAGTACCTCTGGGGACCTGAGCTGCAGTTTCTGAAGCATGTCTTGAATGGGCTTTGCTCTCTCCAGACTTGGGCGGTGATCTGAGCATCACAAGCTCTGTGGATAAAACTTTTGATCAATTGGTAATGAAAGCAAAAATGAATTTGATTATTGTAAGCTCTTTTTGGCTGGTGACTGGCAGCCCAGTTTATCTTCAGTGGTGAATCTTCCTATGATTTTGGGTTTTTAAGACCAAAGCAGTGACAAACTTTTCATTTCTGTATTTCTTGGTTGGTTTTTACATGAATAAAAATGCATCCCTCACAGTGTTTTGGATGGTCTTAAGAAGTAGTGCCTTATTTTGTCTGAGACCTCTTATATCTGTGAAAACCCCCAAATCCAAAAGAAAGCAAGTACGAGCTTCTCAGGCAGCAAGAAATGAAAACATTGCCTGTGAAAATGCCAGTGAGAGGTAGCCTTTGTGGAGCAGAAAGATAATTTTATGATGGGGATGCTGTCAGACTGAAGCCCTGCCACCAGCCCCCGTACGTTTAAATCTTCAAAGCCAGTTTGTGAACCACCCAACTCCTCTCTCCTTGATATTTATGTAGTCAGCAGCGAAAGCAGTGGGGATTGTAGCCTTGGTAATATCTTGTCATCCTTGGTAGAGTGAGCTATGGGTATTGTTGAGGTGAACCGAGGGACTGGCAAAGCCATTTTTGTTTGAACGCTTGTTTAAACAAAGATTGTGGAGGGTGCAGCAGCAACGGCTGCCAGAGGTGGGGTTAAATTGCGTTCTGTGTGCCTCTGTCCTCTGCTGACCACCTTGTTGGAGAGTGTGGACTGCTCGCCTGGGACTTGGTTTACAGAGCCTGGCCCAGGATGAGTGTAAGGAGGCGATGAGTTGTGGGATTTTTTGAGGTTTTTTTGGGTTTGGGTATTTTGTCTTAATCCTTTAGGGAGTCTATATTGACTCAACTTTGGTTTTGCTTAAAACTTTTTTAGTAGGCTACATAGGACAAAAAAGCCAATTTTGCAATACTGGGAGTTTTCCTTGCCGAAACAAAACAAGTTAAAAATTCCCTTTCCCTTCTCTTTTCCTTGTTACCACCCCAGTCCTAATCTGGCATGTTTCATGCTGATGTGAATTTCTTCACCCATTTTTTCTGGCAGATGTGTTCATGGATAACTCAGCCACTTGAGCAAATATTTATCAGAAGCCCCCTCACCTCCTCTCCCCTTCTGAGCCTTTTGAATGTCTTACATTGAGGAATATTATGCAGAAGTTTATTTTTCCTGGCAGTAAATTACAGTGACCTGCATGAATGAATGGAATGGTAATAAGGATTATGTCATTTATTTAAATGTCTATTTCTTTCCTATAGAGAGGCAGAAAAGTAAATAATGAGGTTTTTCAAAATGCGGCTAGGGATTTGGGGTGCTGGGTACCAAGCTGATGGCACCCAAAGGAGCCCTGATTTTCCCTGGATGAATTCTCAGCATTTTCTAATGCTCAGGCCCTGTGAGATATGAAACCAGAAGTCCAAAAATGACTTTTGCAAGTCACAACCTGCATTTTGGAGTTCTGTGTATTTAAATCAATTTACTTCCTTTTTGCATTTAATTTTCATGAGTTAAAGGGTGTAATTGTTAGTTTACTTTGAAAAGATATGTATGGGAATGTGTACTCTAACATTGTGTTGAATTTGCTGTAAGTTGCAAGAGATGCTGCATTGGAACCTTAACCTAAAAGGGGGATCGGTGTTAGAAAACTCAGCCATTTCTCTGTTGCTGAAAGCTTGTAATAATCATAGAGGTTGGGCATAAAATTGCTGAAGCAGTAAATTAAGGCTGGCCAGAAGGGGAAACTCTGACAGTTTTTCTAGTTAAGACAGTTCTACAGAAGTTATTTTTGTGCCTTTTTTTTTTTTTTTTCCCCCCCCTGTTTTCATGTGAATTTTCAGTTCCCATGGGGCCATGGGGAGTTATGGATGTTTGTTTAGAGGCAATTGTGTATGTAGACTGTATCTTACAAACTTCAGATTGTAATTTTAGGTCAAGTTGTGTGTAGAAAACTGTCAGTTGGAAGCCTCTGAAATTGCTTTTCCTATATGGTTTAACTGGTTCCAGAGTTGATTAAGTGTAAGTAATAGCAAATGGTATTAAACATGGTAACGTATTACATTAACATGAGCATCTGACTATATGGTGTAATGTAGAGAACCCTCTGATTATGTCACAGATTTGGGAGGTATCCCAGCAAAAGTCATGCCAAATAATGACACAATGCTAGTTAGGAATATCCAGTATTACTTGATGCCAATAACTTTCCAAACCTTGAACTCTTTTGACAATTAAAAGCCTGGAGCCAGCAGGGCTGAGTAGTTTTTAGTGAGAATGTAGGTGTGAAGTATTCTCATTTTTACCTTGTAATTACTTGCAAGAACCCTCTTAAAATAGTCAGCTCAGCTCAGATGGTCTCATTCAAATTTACAAACCTGGCAAAACCGTTATGCTGAATTTTTAACAATGGGAGTAGAAAATACTGAAATAAAAAGCAGCAAGTCCTTGGCAGCCTCTCTGTATTGCACAGGATACTTGTGCACATTGACAGCGTTAGTGGGGAATTGTCCGTTGGGGTTGGCCAGGATATTTTGAGTTGGACAAAGTTATTGAGATGTTTGGGATACCCCACTTGCCTGCATTTTCCCCTCTCCTCCTCCATTTCAAAAGAGGGACTTCAGCAGGCTGTATGCAGGGCTTTGCTCAGGGATACAAGTGTGTTAAGACTGCGGCAGAGGCAAATGGTGGCGGTGCAAAACTCTGTGAGGATCCTGTGGGAGGGAGGGAGACGAGTTGATTTTAGCTTTTTATTGGGAGTATACCCAGAGGCTTCAATTAATATCGGATACTTATTGTCCAAGGCAATGAGCCAGCACACAGTAATTGCTTACAACCAAAATGCAGAGAGAGCAGGAGAAGGAAATGTCACTGTCCATTTTATAGATGAAAAACCGAGCTGTGGAGCGATGAAATTTCTTGCCCTGGGTCACACAGGAAGCTGGTGGCAGAGCCAAAAAGTAAAGCTGGTACTTGAATCCTAATCCAGTACCTTAATTAAAAGAATGTTCTTTCCCTTGTACAGTTTAGCCCATCAGCTGTTTTTTTACATGCAGCTGAAGTGCCTTTCTATGCTCTTGTATTTAACAGTAGGTAGGAACTCGCATTTTTATAGTAAGCTTACTAATAGACTAACTCCATTCTCATTAAACATATATAAAGTCGTGCGGTCTTAAGGGAGAATGAATGAAAACGGTGTGGTTTTCACTTATGGATTGTATTGTAGTGAATCCGGGTTGTAGGAAGCAACGTGGGAATGCAGCCACTGAGACTTGTATATAATTAGATCACTCTTGGATTGGAATTATCGCTGGAGTACAATTTCAGCAGCGGCAGTTCTGTTTAAGCATGGAAGTAACTAATTGAATTTATATTTTAACGGAAGAAAAAAAAAAAAAAAGGTTAGTCTTTGTACAGTCCTAGCGCAGGTAGCCATTTCTGTCCTATTTAATGTCATCATCCAGGGAAACAAAAGATGGTTTGGTTTCAGATGAAGTTCACCACGTTACCTCATTTACTGGATTTTATAAGCAGCTGCTATAGCACGACACATCTTCCAAGAATGTATAAGAAGACCCTGCTGTTTACTATAAAAATGACCGTAACTTGTCACAAACATACATTTATTTATTTTTTTTTTAAAAAAAGTCCTTTTTCAGCCAGTTTAGCTGTACTTTGACCAGTTTCTAGTTTGCCTAATAGCCATGCCTTTGGCTCTTGTTACTGAGAAGTGAACTCCAGAGGTGGCAGAGTACCACGCAGTTGTCCCTTAACAGTAATTCGTATTTTCATATGAAAACAGTGTGAGAATAACTTCTCATCCGGGAAGCATTTTAAATTACTCTCAGCTTGTGCCCCAGAAATATCATGTATGAGTGGTTTTACTGATGAGTGTGCAGAAAAACGCTTTTATTCTGAACTCTTGGAGGTTTTAGAGGGCTTTGGGATGAATTTTACTCTTGCTTTTTACAGCATGTTAAAAATCTAATTAAAATGGAATCAACTTTTTTGCTATTGGT